ATTTGCCTAAAATTTCCCACAATTTAATGATAATTTACTGAAAAATTTCTCAACATTTGAATTAGGAATTCTGTAGGAATTCCGCCATTTTGACAAAATTTGCCAAATTGTAAGTCCTCCATTATCCCAAAATTGTAACACAATTTACCTCAATTTACCGGGATAATTCTCAATTTGCCAGAAAAATTCCAGGCAAATTTTGTGACAATGACATCTGTTCGACCTGTGTGGAAGAATCGATTTTAGTAGGTTAAGTGCCTTTTCTAGTGTGATTTCAAGCTCATCTGAGATTATGAACAATCCAAGAGGGAGTGCTCCGACCGCACAACTGGTACAAAGAAGTGTAATCGACGTATTTAAAGGTTCGAATGATGCTGAAACATCTACATAACATATTTCACCAGATTGTGGGATTTTTTCGTGCACGCGACTCATTAATCCAGTTACCACACATAGAATAAGTGCCTTTTCCGTACGTGAATCGTATTCTTGAAGGATTGCTTTTCCACGACCTGAGCTGTTATATTCGTTTACAATATCTACGAGACATCTAAATATTAAACTACCATTACAATCACCAAGTGAAGTTTCTCGATATTTTTGAAATAACTTGGCAATATAATCGTAGTCAGGATTATTTGCCCGATCTGCAAGTAGAACTAATAGATCCTGTTCATCCATAGAACTAAGGTACAACTCATCTTCATGGACATTTATCGCCGATGCAGGCGAATATCCATCTTTGAAAAGTTGCAAGAACTTCTCGCAGAATTTTTCATTGACACGACGAAAGCTTAACGATTCTGCCGAATTAATTACATGATTGTGCGTAAACTTTATATTAACCTCTAGGAGATGATTAAGTTCAACGCGCCAACTCTCTAACCGAAGATGAATTGTTGCTTTGCAACTGGTATTTCGTAATCGAAGCAAATTTTGGCGTTTAACTTCTCGACTTCCTTGCTTTTTCTTCACTGTATCGCTATGTATACAATGTCTAGTCTCGCAAAAAAGAACATATTTTCCCTTGATTTCATAACGCTTGGTTTCCAGCATCATTGTTTTTGACCAGAATTGAAACGTCACAAACCATTTGGATGCCTTCTCTTTATCATTGACATCTACAAATACGTCTAGTTCAAATTGTGGTATCACAAAGTCCTCAGCAGTTTGATACGATGGTAGTTCGTTAAAGTTTATAATTGAATATGTGTAGTGCTGGGGAAGTATCGATTTTAAAACATTGGGAAGAGAATTCCAAGAAAAGAACTACAAATTTAATTAATAACAATACTGAAAAGATAAATAAATGATACTTGTAGACGATAAAAAGAACTATATTTTAAAATTTAATACATGATAAAAAACAATGAAAATTCAATGATATTTAATGAATAGCATTTAAAAATAATGAAATCAATAAAATATATGCTACATGAAAAAAAAAACAATGAAGAATCTGATATTTAAAAAAAAGTATATTTAAAATCAATGAAATATGATAAAAAAATTAAAAATTAAAATACAAGCTTAAACTATATTAAAGAAATGATATATTTTCGTTATATTAAGTTAAATAGATATACACTATATTATAAATATATAATTATTATAATTGAAATACTTGTTTTGCTCAAAATCTCGGTTTTTTTAAATATATTCCATGTGATTATATTATCAGTCACCGAAAATGTCACATGCAGATCATTTTCATAATAAATCAATTTTGTGTAACATTAATCCAACAACTTTATTTTATAATTAAACGTCAAATTCCAAATGTACCACGCTTGTGTAAATTACAAAATTTATAGATAATCATGTGTTCTATAAATTTTATCATTACTTTCCATTTTAGTAATTTTTTTTTTTCGTTTTACATTTCTTGCAAAAAACCCTTAAAAAAAGCTTTTCTTCGAGATTAAAGTTGAGAAATGGAGTAAAAAATATTTTTAACAATAGTAATATATGCAAATTCACGAGAAGAAAATGTTTTTCTAAGTTATTAATGACGGTCAGTTAGGTAGTTTTTGTGTAAAACGTAAAAAATTGGATTTTTTTTTATTATAAGGAGCTTTTTAATATAAAAAATGAAAAAAAAGTATATTAAAATCATTTATTTTTGTAAGTTATCAATATCCTCTTGTATCTACAACTCTTCAATTATACTTGTTAGTTATACAATACTATATTCTAATACTAATTTCTCTTCTCTAGGCGGTCTGGAATTATTTTTGATGATTTGGAATTTCTTATTTTTTCAGCTTAGAAATTTTGCCTAAAGTAAAGATAATTATTTTTTTTCTCATACTACCATTACTTATTTTATAACTAATATGGATTGTTTGTCCTTTTTTTTATATAGGTTTAATAGTAGTTAAAAATTATTTTTGACGATTTCTTAATTTTCGTGATGGACGTCAAATAATATTAATTAATCAGATGAAAACAAGTTGATTATTCATGTGAGTTTATTTTTTGCATAGATAATTTTGTATTCATATAGGATAGATTTATTTTTATGTAGAACAATTATTTTTTCGTGTATAATAGAAATTTTTTTATCAATTTTCATAGATAAATAAATATAAAATTATTTTTTTAAATATTTTATGCTGCCATCAAAATTTTTTTTAATATTTTAATTAAAAATAATTTATTTTTTTTACAAATTACTATAGCATGAACGTATAATAGTTTGGGATTTAAGTATCAGTTGCTTCATCATCATCATCAGATAGCATGTTTGTTTCTTCTTCTTTCC